TGTTGAGAAGGCAAATCTTGCTTTTGAAACAATGGCTGCTAGAGATGTTATTTCATGGACAGCAATGATCACTTCATTCACTCGCAATGGCAATGTAGAAAGAGCACAGTATTATTTTGACCGAATGCCGGAGCGTAATGTCGTAAGTTGGAATTCGATGTTAAGTGCATATTTCCAGAACGGTTTTTGGGAAGAAGGTTTAAAATTATACATTTGTATGCTAAGACAAGAAGTTAGGCCTGATTGGGTCACCTTTGTTACCACGATTAGTTCTTGTTCGGAGTTAGCAATTTCAAAACTTGGAACACAAATAGTATCCCAAGCAGTAAGAGTAGGGCTTGGTTCTGATGTTTCAGTTGCTAACAGTGCAATTACCTTGTATTCTAGATGTGGTAAAATTGAAGATGCGCATAAAGTTTTTGACTCAATACAAGAGAAGAACTTGATTTCTTGGAACTCAATAATGGGAGGATATGCTCAAAATGGTCAAGGCAGGAAGGTGATTGAACTGTTTCAGAACATGTTGATGGTTGGTTGCAAACCTGATCATATCACCTATGTAGCAATTCTCTCAGGTTGCAGCCATTCAGGCCTTGTAAAAGAAGCAAAACATTACTTTAACTCCATGTCTAAAGATTTTGGCATCTGTGCAACTCCTGAGCACTTTGCGTGTATGGTAGATTTATTTGGTCGAGCTGGGTTACTAAAGTCGGCCATGGATCTGATTGGTCAAATGCCATTTAAGCCAAATGTCACCATATGGGGCACTCTACTCAGCGCTTGTAGGATCCACCATGACACTGAAATGGCAGAGATGGCAATGAAGAACTTGCTAGAATTGAACGCTGAACACTCTGAAAGTTACATTCTGCTAGCAAATGTCTACTCCAGCTCCGGAAAGTTGGAATGTGTTTCTGATGTGAGACAATTGATGAGACAGAAAGGAGTACAGAAAGATCCTGGCTGCAGCTGGATAGAGGTGAGCAATAGGGTCCATGTCTTTACTGTTAATGACACAAACCATCCACAAATCAAGGATATTTGTAAGGCATTGGAAGACATTGTTAAGAAGATCAAAGATGATTATGGTTATGTTGATGCGTCAAGTTCGATTGGCTATCATAGTGAGAAGCTTGCTATTGCCTTTGGTTTGATTAGCTTGCCTGATTGGATGCCAATCCATGTGATGAAGAACCTTCGAGTTTGCAACGATTGTCACCAGGTGATGAAATTGATTTCTCTTGTTTCCATGAGAAAACTTGTTGTGCGCGATGGGCACCGATTTCATCACTTGGAGAATGGGAGTTGTTCTTGTGGAGATTACTGGTAGTCATAAACTTGAATTCTGATGCTTTGATTTAAGAAAGGATAGGAAGAAGCTTAGCACATTAATGAACTCATCTCCCCCAGTGATTGTGAAAGGGATGAAGTGAGGGTGTGCATCCAGTGATTTGATTCAACTTGCTGGCTTTATCATGTCTTGAGTTTACGTGTCTCTAAACGAATCGATTAAAGATGCAGGGACATTAGAGATTGAAAGGTATTTGTTTTCCATTTTATAGTGTTTATGTTTCAAATGCTTCCTATTTCTCGCACTAATCTTAGGTGTCTTACCTGTTATTCTGGTCTTTTATTCTGTAAGAAGGATAGGTTGGTTTTGTTCATTTTCAGTTTCTTTGCTTCAAATTCCAATTGGTTCTATTGTATAGTTAGTACAATTTGTCTGCCGAACAAACAGTGATTTTGGTCATGTTGTTTGATAAGTATTTCGATCTTTCTGTTTTTGCTAACCATGCATAGATCTGAAGCAGGGAATATATGTGTACATTCCTTGCTACACCTTGATGGCTATTGATCATACAAATTTATTTGTTTCTAGGATGTTGCTATTGCTTATGGGTTCAATAACATTCCAAAGAGAAAACTAGCATCTTTGCAACTCATTGGAGCAGAGGTACATATTTACAGTAATTGGTTTGTTGTATCTATGCTCTAGATATGTACAGTTAATGAATATCATACGTCGTTGAACTTGTAGTTGTCCGTATTCTTCTCCATTTATTTTTTATTTTTGAAAGTTGCTTTCATTTTTTCGTGATTTCTGTACAATGATTTTGATGTTTCATACGGAAAAGGTTAAATTACTTTGAGAATATTCCTAAAACGCATATGACAAACAAAGAAATACATATGCGAAAGTAGTGTTTATAATCTTAGTTTTTGGGATTAAATGATTATCAAACGGAGTTTGAGTAATTCTGCATTTATGTAGGCTATAATCATTTGTTGTATATTTGTATCCTTTCTCATTAGCTCGAAATTGATTTTGTTTTGTCGTGATGGATCGTACATATACGTAGAACATTCAATAAGAACGTGACTCATTGTGAACAATTTTCAAATGATCTGGATTGAGATAATAGTAACTGCGCATGCACTCATTGACTCGAGCATGCACCCATAACGTGTGGTGAACTTGCATATTGTGTCAACAAGGTATGCCATTTTATTCATTCTCCTACTGTTTTGCATTGGAGGGTTGTGAAGCGTATTCTTTGCTGTTTACAAGGGACTCAATGTTTTGGTTTGTTATATTATCTAGACCTAGTGATTTTCAAGGGCATTCTGATCCAAGTGATGGAAATGGTTTATTTTTGGCAGGAATAGGGTAAGATGGAGCTCAAACAAACAACAAATTATATCAAGATCAAGTATGGATGCTAAGTTCATATGTCTTGCAAATGCAGCTACCAACCTTGTGGATTGGAGCCTTCTTAGTTAACTCAGAGCTCCTTGCCCATCTCATATGCGATAGTTCAAGCCAAAAGAATACGTACCAGTTGCAAACTCATACATTTCTAAAGAAATAAATGAATTTTTTGTTAAGAATGAAAAATAGAAATAGAATTAGAATCAAAGGTATTCTTGATATTGGATGACGGCGCTTGTAAAGACTTCACTGATTGAGTTAACCAAGATATTAGGATACTATTGCACTGATTCCAGAGTTCAAATTTGGTTGAATTTACATCTTGAGACGGTTCTTCAATTGTGCCATCAATGAAGCTAATTTTTTTTTTTGGCAATAAGAGCATGTATAACTAATTTACTTGAGGATTGATAATTTGTTCTATTTAATTGGATTGGAACGAGTGAATATCCTGGTTGATCAGAATGATGAATATCATAAAGATGTGTTAAATCAATATCGAAATTTTGAACCTGGATTTGACTGATTCTGCCATAAAGGAAATTTTGATATTTAAGAACACAAAGATCAGTTCTCTGATACCATGTTAAGAATTTTGTGTGACATATCTCTTTAAATGCTTCTTAGATAAACATTTCATCAAAATCCATTGATTATTATACATCGTGAAAATATTTTATTTGACTGACGTAGTTGTCTAACAACTTAAAAACAATAATCATCCAAATATGAAAGTGCCTTATCTTAATCCAAAGAAAAATGAATAGCATGTAATATTTGACAATTTTCAACCCAATGCTATAAGTGAATCTATTATAAAACATCCGTTCTCAACTTTCTGTTTAGGCAGAAATGGATGTGTAGTACTTCTCTACACACGACCTATGCACTTGCACATGGACTCTTGGTGAGCTCGTATACGTACCACCTGAATCTGACATTCAACTAGCTTACACTCACACTGTCATCATACCATAGAGGGAAGGGAGCACACATAGTATTCTGGGGTATACAATATCGTATTATAATATCATGGTGAACATAAATGTTGTAAGCTATGTGTCCTTACTAATCATAATGGAAAAGTACCCGATGTATGTAACCATACAATATGCATAAGATCCCTATAGTTTAAAATCATGACATGTATCTCTGATGCAATAACTTCATTCATTTCATACATAGCATAATCATTTCATTTCATTACCTGAGGTAATGTACGATATAGTACCATACTTTCTTAGCATGTCTCATTCATCAACGACATAACGTGTCAACATGATCTTCCATGACATATTGTAAGAAAATGACATATTAGAATCGAGGTAGAGCACTCTTCAATTAGTTGAACCCCTGATTTCAAGCACTTTTTAACTATTAGACGTGTATGTATGTGATTGTTTATAAATTGGTGTGTAATTTTTCTGAATGGTTTGTTATACTTGAAATTGATCCTTATGAAACTTTGTGGACCTTTTATGTGCATATGAGAATTACATACGATGTGAAACAATTACTTATATCTGTGCATGAAAATTACTTTAGATATTATGTTAGAGTCTTGGGTAAATTGTCGATATGTGTATAAGAGTTATATCACCTCTTCATGATATGGCCCTACGACAATTGCATATATGTATGCATGGAGATTGAACCGGTAACAGCCCATAGCCCACTGCTAGTTGATATTGTCATTTTTGTGCTTTTCCTTTCGAGTATCCTCTCAATGTTTTTAAAACGCGGTTAGGAAGAGGTTTTCACACCCTTATAAAAAATGTTTCGTTCTCTCTCCAACTGATGTGGGATCTCACAATCTACTCCGTTCAGAACCAGCCTCTCTCCAATCGATGTGGGATCTCACAGAACCATTGTACTGTGAATTTAGTTGCAACAATTGCTCATCTATGCCATGAAAATTGATCGATTATGGACGATTTATCATGATTATATGCATATCTAGCTCGAGTAGGGAGGTCATTCACTGCGTAGTTTCAATACCCAATTTTTCAAAAATGTTTTTAGGTCATTCACCGATTTATAGGTCCATTGATTTCTCGTAATTTATCGTGATTATATACCTACAACATATTTTTTATTTTATCTTTCACATTCTCTAGTTAATATGGATTTTTCCTAGACAATTATTTGAACCATTACAAACTCATTACAAATTTGCAATATACACATAGTTCATTATTTTATTTTATTTTTTTGGTATTTAATTAATTAAAAGAATATAAAGTAATTTATTTTCCAAAATAAATAATGACAGAAAATAGGCCATTCAACGTTTTAGGGTACATGCATGAGACATCGAGTTTCAACAAAATCAATCCAGCCGACAACAGAATTTGAAGCCGTCTTCGGAAGGCAGCGTCCGTTCCGAGCAGAGCAACTTGGATTTTCGCTACAATGACTCGCTTGGATTCAGAGCAAGTTCTCAATGATAACAGCACCCAAGACCCGCTCGCAATCGGTACTCTCAAGCTCAATCACAAGGCTCTTTCTGATGTACGATCCTCCCTTTGTTAATCTCTGTTGTTTTCTCTGTTTTTCCATTTCATTGAGTTCTACGGCACTCGTGTTGTTTTGCAGGTTAATGATTTGTCCGTTTTCAAAAACTTGGAGAAGCTCGATTTGACATTCAACAAGCTTACATCGCTTGAGGTATGTGCGCGTTTTTCTGTGTCTCATAACTAATGTGTTGATGTATTATTGGGCTTTTGTCGATTCTGGACGTTTGATTGAAGGGGTTGAAGTCATGCACCAATTTGAAGTGGCTCTCAGTTGTACAAAACAAGCTTGAAAGCTTAAAAGGAATTGAGGGGCTTTCTAAACTTACTGTAAGAACCACTTATCCTTCATCTTATATTATTGCCAATGGACCATAAGCATAACGTGAATACCTTTAGTTTATGTGGGTGTAGTTTCTTTTTTTTCTTTTTAATCTATTCTTTCTATACTCTATTAAGAATTTTGCAATGAGAGCTTTCGATTCAACGTCAACTATGCTACAACCTCCTATCGTTGGTGAATTATTATCTCATTCCATTCTAATGGTTCCACGAGTAATCAATGAAAGATAAAGAGACGTCACAATCTTTATAAGATATATAGTTACTCCTCTCATTGTCAATTGGTTTTTGGATGAATCTCCATGTTTATGCAATATATGTATTTTGTTCGAAATCCCATGTTTATCTAATATAAGTATTTTATTGAATTGTTCAATTATGGTTATGTATGGATTTGTGATGTGCACAAATTTCTGTATGGAATACGTTAAGATTTTCTGTGAGATCCCACATAGGAGAGAGGAACGAGTGCCAGTGAGGATACTAGGTCCCGAAAGGGGGTGAATTGTAAGATCCCACATCGGTTGGGGAGGAGAATGAAACATTCCTTATAAGGGTGTGGAAACCTCTCCCTAGTAGACGTGTTTTAAAAACCTTGAGGAGAAACCTAAAAGCGAAAGCCCAAAGAGGACAATATCTGCTAGCGGTAGGCTTGGGTTGTTACAATGGTATCAGAGCTAGTCACCTGGCGGTGTGCCCGCAAGGACACTAAGCCTTGAAGGGGGGTGGATATCAAGCGGTGTGCCAGTGAGGACGCTAGGCCCCGAAGGGGGTGAATTGTGAGATCCAACATTGATTGGAGAGAGGAACAAGTGGTAGGGAGGACGTTGGGCCTCGAAGGGGGTGAAATGTGAGATCCCACATCAGTTGGGGAGGAGAATGAAACATTTTTTATATGGGTGTAGAAACCTCTCCCGAGTCGACACATTTTAAAAACCTCGAGGGGAAAACCAAAAGGGAAAGCCTAAAGAGGACAATATCTGCTAGTGGTGGGCTTGGGCTTGGGTTTGGGTTGTTACATTTTCTTATACGGTAAATATATGGATGTAGATGCAATGGATTTGATTTTGAGTGTCCTTTGTATATTTTCCTAATCAGGTATTAAATGCGGGAAAGAATAAGCTTCAATCAATGGACGAAATCAGACCCCTTGTTGGCTTATGTGCTTTGATTTTGAATGGTAAGCATTTTGCTTGACATACTAAACTTCTTCATCAGGTTTATATGTTGATTATGATCGTTATCAATCAGATTATTTCATTTTGGGGCTTTACAGACAATGAGATATCTTCTATTTGCAAGCTTGATCAGATGAAGAACCTGAATACTCTGGGTATGGTTTCTCATTTTCATGTCCACTTTTAATGCTTTGCTGGTAGTTGGCATATTCAAGTTTTTTTTACCAAGCTTTATTTTCTTTTATTAAATAACATGTTTTGAGAATAGCCTTTTCTTATTCTCGAATCTGTCTTACATGTTCAAGAGTTATGCTAATTAGAAACATAAACTAAGTTATCTAACCGTTCAAGTTATTATGCAGTTCTTTCCAGAAATCCAATCCATAGTATTGGAGATTCTCTATTCAAAGTGAAATCAATGAAAAAAGTAAGAAACAATCTGTTCTTCTGTTTGATGTTGTTTGATGATTACTCGTACTTGAATACGTCCAAGAATCTCATAAGTGATATATTAATCGTTGTTTCAGCTATCTTTTTCTAATTGTAAACTACAATCTATTGATTCTTCCCTCAAGTCTTGTATCGAATTGAAAGAGCTTCGACTTGCTCACAATGAAATCAAGGTATGTGCTGTTTGGATTAGTTTGTGATACTTATGCAGATCTCTTGAGAACTTGTTTATTACTCCTAAGATTGCACAATGATGGGATAGAATCTTTATTTGTCTTGTGTTTTTGGAAACTAATTCGTACTCATTCTCGTCGAGCGTACTTCCCCTATCCAGATGCTCCCCAAGGATTTGGCTCATAACAAGAAATTGTTGAATTTGGATTTGGGAAATAATATCATAATTAGATGGTCAGATGTGAAGGTAAGATAAATCCTATCTAACATTTTCCTTAATATTTTAAATTTTCAATATTTTTTCCATTTTAACCTCCTCTTTTTCATGAATCACTGTTTGTACTTTTCTTCTAGGTATTGAGTTCATTAGGAAACCTGAGAAATCTTAATCTTCAAGGGAATCCTATTGCTGAAAGTGCTAAGTTAGATAAAAAGGTCCATCCCCATTCTCTCTACGAGTCTTCTACATCTATTTTTTTTTTTTTTTTTTTTTTAATTACAAGTGGGGTATGAGAATTTGAACCTCCAACCTCAGTGGAAGGAATACATCGCATTACTGTTGAGCTATGCTTACTTTGACTATCCATTTTAAATAAATCCGATCATCCAAAAATACGTTTCTGACAAGTGAAACTACAGATTCGTCGACTGCTTCCAGGCCTGCGTGTATTGAATGCTAGACCAATAGATAAATACGTAAAAAATGAGAAGGATAACGGGAGTGAGAAAGACGATGACAGTTCAATAAAGAAGCTAGAGCTTCAAAAAGAGAAAAAGGATGGAAAACCGAAAAGGAATGCCAAAATGCTGTCGGATCAAGGCAGTGATGGCGAAGTTGATTATTCTCATGATGATGATATGGAAAAGAAATCGAAATTGGAGAACAAAAAACGCAAGATGGACAAGGTCACCAGGGAGGAGAAAGAAGCTCCATCTCTCGACAATAAGAGAAATCACGGTACAAATGATATTGCTGAGGATAAGAAGACTTCGAAGCAGAAAAGGTCAAAAAGCAACAAGGAGCCATCTTCACCCAAGATCGAAAAGCAGAAGAAGAAAGCAAAGAAGGAAGGGGAAAAGCAGGTTGATGTTGTCGACGACACTGAAGTGCCATTTGAACAGCTTTTTGGAGGAGACGGTGTTGAAGACATGGATGCCGGTCTTAGAAAGGTTGATGAGAAAGCAGTAGAGGACATGAATTTAAAGGCCAACTTGGTATCATTTGCAGCTAATAGAAAGGAATCTAAAAAGCCAGACAGAGCTACAAGGTTACAAATATCCCCAGTAGTTGAAATCGGAATGGGTGGACCATCAGCATGGGCTGATGAGTAACTGCGAGACAAATCCATTCAGTTTCTTGGGTAAGTTTTGATCTCCCGGGAGTTCCTAGTTTGAACAGATGTTTAGAATATGAACTCATTTCAGAGTTTAATCTGGCTATGAGCTATGAAGCATAAGCAGCTGCTGTTGGGCATCGTCTACTGATGTTGGGAGACTTTCACAAACATGGAATGGTGAAGAATTGTCATGATACCTTGATCTGCCTAGTTAATTTAAACTGTGACTAACCAAATCATGTTGTAGCTTGTTGGCTTCGTTTGGGGCAACCGAGTAAGACTCGATGCAATCCAAGTTTCAGGTTCGATCGGGTTCGGTAGGGAGAACAATTTTGAACAGTTGTGAGTTTGGCATTGAGAACATGGAGGTGAATCATATGAGAGATTTATTTGATAAAAGATATATAATGAAGTTATTATGCTACTAGAATAAGTTAGAGGATTATTGCCAGTTTTATGGATTTTTTGAAGAATCTTTTAAGCGTTACAATTTTAAATTAGTTGTACTTTTTAGTTCATGATCATATTGCCCTTGGAAGTTTATGAATCTATCATAAACTAATTCTAGTCCATAGAAGGGTGAAGCTCCATTGTTCATTGTCATTCAGTCGAGCTCATAATTCACTCAAAAATTAATATCGAGTCACATATGATCATTTCATGAAATATTAATTTTCTCAATTTACAGATTTAGGAGATATTAAGTATTTCGAAATTTAGTCTTATACAAACTCATTGTATAAGATACTCCTCCATAGTGTTTAACAAAGAGCCAGTTAGCAAGTGTTGGTGCGATAAGTTAGACCTATGGAGTGTGCAAGCCTGTCTGATGGACACATATTTGCATGCGTATGTCATGTATAGAGAAGTACTACACATCGATATGTTACGATAAGAGAGGATAGGTCCCCATGTTACTTGTGTTTGCATTTCCCGACTCTAACAGTGGGATCACACTTAGAGTATTTATTAAAATTCTCAAACCATGTGCTACTCTTAAATTTCAAGTAAAGGCAAAGCGCTCCTATACGGATGACAACGATATCACGTTAGAGACCATAAAACCGGTACTAGGGTAGCTTTTTTTTTTTTTGCTTATTAGTCTAAGGTTAGTATAGGACATTATTTTATTCCCTAACTTTATCTATTATGATATACACGGATAATTCACTTTATATAATTTACCTACTTTATATTAAAACTAATTTTATCTTCCACAACCATAAAAAAGACGATGCGAACGGGTTACTCATATACATGACAATTAATTACAACTCATTGATTTACTTAATCATCGATATTCTTAGTTATATGTTAATGAAATAACAAGTCAATCCTTGATATATCCTAACATCATTGTACAACGGGTAGAAATTAACGTGTTCATTAATTGTGATTAGCACATCAACAAAACGACTGCACTTATGCACTTTGTCAATTCACCATATCTTTTATTTTTTAGATCTTCCCACCTAAACCTTAATAATTAGAGATGTCCACGGGCATTAAGAATTTTTTAATGGATAATTTTCATATTTCAATATAATTTCTCTTTAAAGGCAAAACATTCTAATAAATTCAATCATATATCATCAAAAAAATCATTTTTAAAAATTTAAACATTACTAGATATTACAATATAATTTGTTTGAAACCAAACTTCTCCTCAGGAGGACAGATGGGTCGATTCAGGTGAAATTCAATGTAGATCAAACTTTCTATTCACTCGTAGATTCGGGCGGTTCGGGGAGACTACCTTGACTCCTCTCTTCTCGAGAATTCATACATCCTTTATCAATATATGGACAGTTATCTCTCGAGCACAGGTTTAGGTTCGGCCTCAATGAGAAAATAAAACAGAGCACCTAACAACGTATCCACCCTACATGGTATGGTTTGTTACGACACGGCTCGGAATAGTAAGGTATCAAGTAGTTGATGTGGATATATATATAGAGTTTCATGTACTAATTTTGATATATATTTATATTTGAGCGGAGATGAGGTTGGGCAATATTATCCATATTCCCAACCCGGTTAGATAACAGGGGGAATCTTTCCTCGCTCCCTTTCTCATTTTTCGTTTAAACAGAGATTCTCCGCTCCATTGATCAAAACAGGTTGAATGGACATCTTTATTAATAATAAGACGAGTTGAAATTGGTGATACGACAATCAAACGCTTAATTATTAGAGAAATATAAATAAAATATAATTGAAATGAAAAATGTAAGCTCCCACCACCACCACACCACAAATGTTTGATATTGTAAACGAAGAGAGGAAAAGGGGCCCACTTTATCCAAATAAATCCGACGTGTCAAAGCTTGATTCATCAAAAATACATCCAAATATCCACAGCAATCGAATCAACAGCGCTTCCCCAAATCTCCTCCCCAACAAAACCCCTCCCTCACTTCTACTGCATACCAATCCCAAACCCTAATCCGCACAATCCCTCCCAAAAATGGCGTCCGCCTTCGCTACCTCCTCCTCCGTCGTCGGCCTCGGAAGCTCCTCCCTCTCCTCTCCTTCCTCCAGATCTCCCCGTCTCGTCTCCGGTAACCGGCTTCCACTTGCAACTATTTTCCCCTTCCTCTGCCTTGTAATTGAATTTGGCGTTTTTTCTCGTCTTCGCAGGGTTCATCAAGCCCCCTGTCGTCGCGAGGAATCCGTTCGGCGTGGCGCGTTCATTCGGCGGAAGGTTCACCTGGTAAGTAAGATTAGAGTGAGAGATAGTATATGAGTTGGTCGGTTTGGGATTCGATTTGGAGAATGACGAGTTTGTTGTACGGTTTCGTGGTTTGAAAGCTTTCAGAGAGATTGGCTGAGGAGAGATCTGAATGTGATCGGATTTGGACTCATCGGGTGGATTGCGCCGTCGAGTATCCCGGTGATCGACGGGAAGAGCTTGACGGGGCTCTTCTTTGAGAGCATTGGAGCAGAGCTTGCGCATTTTCCGTCTCCACCGGCGCTCACTTCTCAGTTCTGGTAACATCTATAATTTACCGCCAATTTCTTCTTCGCACAATTTTAAAATTAATAGTTTAAAATATTATTTTAAATAATTTAGAACTAAAAATTAGGGTATTTGTCCTAACTTAATTGTTTTAGGTAATAAAATTTTCAACTAAAATAGATTTATTAAATAATAAACTCAATTTATCATAAATTTTTTTTTGGTAATTTATTAAAAATAGCTCTTTTAATTCAATTTTAATATATATTTTTGGAAAGTATTTTTAAAACAGAGTGGAATAATAAATAAGAAAAAATTATGAAATTAAATAAATAATATATACATATATATATAATTATATAGATCAATTGAATAATTTCGAGTTTATTCAATTAAATTTAATCTAAAGAGAAGTTATGAATCAAATCTAACCCAAATAATTTTAAGTTGGAATGATTATTAATAAAAATGATATATATTTAGAACAAAAATATTGTGAAATTCAGGTTGTGGCTGATTACGTGGCACTTGGGTCTGTTCATTACGCTGACGTTTGGACAAATAGGGTTCAAGGGGAGGACCGAAGACTATTTTCAAAAGTGAAAAATGTAATAATTGTTATTAAAGGAAATGTAATTTCAGTTTTTATTCTTCATGTTTATTACTTTATTAAGTTATCAACTTAGTGTGTTTGTGCCCATCATTTTCTTCATCTAAATCGTTTCAATACGATCTAATGCAATGAATCGTTTCAATACGATCTAATGCGGTTGAATGAAAGTCCCACATCAGTATGGTTAAAGATATTTAGTATTAAATTATAGTTTACCATATATATTATACTTATATTTTATTATAAACAAATTTTTAGATATTTCTTTCTATATATTGTTTTTTTTTCATTTATTTACTATTTTCATATCTTGTCGTTTATTTGATTATAAATAGAGAACTTTTCTATACCATTTAGGTGATGAATTATACAAATATTCTCATGCTTCTACTGTTAATGGAAAATAAAATGACCGAAGATTTGGTATTCCAAAGTCAAGAACAAAATATATCACTTATGAGGCCTTTTGAGAAGCACAAATGTAACTCAAATAACACGGTATTAAGATACCGATATAATAGTTGGAAGGGAGTTGATAAGATACCGATATAATAGTTGGAAGGGAGTTGATTAATTATATTTTAAAACTACACAACTCTGGTAATTTTTTTACAATTTTATAAAAAAACATACCACTATTTCTTTTCAAAATCTAAAAGAGAATAATTTTTCAATTGATTTCCCTCTATTTCGCCCATTGATTTCCTCCCGCTCAAATCCTCAATCTTCCCAACAAGGAAAGTGTAGAATGTTGAGGCGGTAATTAAACAAAGTACACTAAAAGTGTAAAATAACTCCCCGGCAATAGTCATTTGACAACTCAGATATGAATGTCACTGAGTCTAATGGCATAGAATATAGAATCTCTTCCACGTAAGCTCGTTGTACAAAATTTATTTGTTCATACAGATAGTATGATTTGGAGATCTTTTGTTGGTCGTTCAATGAAAAAAAAGTAAGAATAGGACTCCTTACTAGTGCATTTTACACAACAATCTCACATAAATAATCTCCTCAAACCCAACTCAAGCATAAGTAATGCTATTATTTGGGACCAACATATATCAATTGGTTCATACTTTTCCCCTCCAATTATTGAACTAAAAGAAAGTTCTTATTTCAAGGATGAAAAAAATTCCACCACACAATCATTATCATTTCTATAAAAGGGTGAAATTAGTTCAACTCAATTTGGTTCTTTGTCGAACTAGTTTTGATTCCGTAGTTAACAATGATTGAACCGAATCAAGGCAATATTATTTGTCAACTATTCTCACAATATAACTATGTCCCTGCTACATTTAGCTGCCTATATAACTTGTAAGATATTAAATCCTAGATAGGTGAGTTACTATGACTCGTTTATACAACAATACCATTTTCAATCACTAGACGAATCCATATTAGTTCAAGGGTGGTTCATTCATATGATCTTTGCCCTTTCCCATCATAATAATCTTCCACAGTTTCTATTCATCTCTCTGACACTAACATCAATATACCAATATCTTGATCCACCTAAATACAGTATCATGAATAAAACTAGGCTAGAAATGAAGGAAAAAATGATATTAAAATCCACCGCTGATATAAATTCAGAAATATTCACAGTTCTGAATGATTAGGATGAATATAATACAACACTGAACGCATGAGGAAACAGTAAAACATAGACAACACATGTAGATTAGAACAATTAATGTAACTAAATTGAAGCTTCGACAATAAACTTACTTATTACAAGAATCTTCGGTTTTTTTAGATGCAGATGTGAAAGTAACTGGGGTTGTAGGATGGTCCCTCACAACCAAGCTAAGCACTTCAGGCCTTGCATAATGACCAACCACATCGAAATCAAATTTCGCCCGTGCTATATCTCCAAGATCT